CCCCCCATCCCCCATCCCCCTACCCCACATCGCCATGGGCCTGGAATCACATGTAGGCCAGAGCAGGATAAGGAGAGTGGATCTTCTTCCCTAAAGGGTATTTGTGACCCTGGGGGGATTTTGACTGTAACGCCCTTGGGGCAACCCTTGACTGAATTCACGTATAACCATTGCCCTCCCGGGTGGGGTTCGATCCCGGGTTTGGGGTGTTCTCAATTGCTAGACTAGTGACATTACCACTACACCATCCTGTCTTCAAGAGCCCCTCTCCCAGTAACAGACCTGGGACAGATGGGGATTTGGGATTGGGAGTGTCTATAGCTTTCGAGGTTTGGCCGTTTGGGAATCGAAGCAGAACAGAAACTCTCTCTGTAACATTCAGCCCTGTGCCTTGTCAGCAGGAAAACTGCTCAGATAGCTCCCACGCTACATCATAGACCACACTTCATGGGCTGTAAAAGTGTGCTGGGAGGTTCACAAAAAGCACTATACAAATGCAGATTCTTTCTTTGCTCTGTCTCCTAATGGCTGAAGGTTTGGGACAGAGGGAGAGATGGAGTGTGAAAGAGAGAGAGAGAGAATCAGAGTTTTAGCCCGAGATCAGAGAGCATGGGGACAAATGCAAAGTGGGTTCAGAAACCGACCACCCCTGCTTTGGGAGGACAATTCTGTCCAATCAGTGAAAGGTATTCCTCTGGAAGAGGGTGAAAGAAACTCAGCATGTTACAAAGTGCAGGTAAAGATCCCAGAAAGGGGAACTTTGTTTGAAATGAGGGATTGTTCTCATCTTGGACACCACAGTTGGAGGGTTTGAGCTACAGGGAGAGGCTGAATAGACTGGGGCTATTTTCCCTGGAGCGTTGGAGGCTGAGGGGTGACCTTATAGAGGTTTATAAAATCATGAGGGGCATGGAGAGGGTGAATAGCCAAGGTCTTTTCCCCAGAGTAGGGGGAGTTCAAAGCTAGAGGGGCATAGGTTTAAGGTGAGAGGGGAAAGATTTAAAAAGGGATCTGAGGGGCAACTTTTTCACACAGAGGGTGGTGCGTGTATGGAACGAACTGCCAGAGGAAGTGGTGGAGGCTGGTACAATTACAACATTTAAAGGTATCTGGATGGGTATATGAATGGGAAGGGTTTAGAGGGACATGGGCCAAATGCTGGCAAACGGGACTGGATTAATTTAGGATATCTGGTCGGTATGGAGACTCTGTTTCCGTGATGTACAGCTCTATGACTCCAGATCCACAGTGATGTGGTTGACTCCTAAGCACCTTCTGAAATGGCTTTGCGAAACACTCAGGATCAAAGGTCACTCAGAGATGGCCAATATGATGTTGGCTTGGTCCAGCGACACACGAACAAATAAGGAGCTGGTAATTTGCCGACACTTAAAATATTTGTCACTAAGTGCCAAAAATAAAGGCCACTTCCATCCTTGACATGGATAAATCTATTTCATCTCGTTGCCTGGCAACAGCGTATTTTCCCCTCTGTCTCTCTCTCTCTGCCTTCACTGAACCTCTCGAGCTTTTGTCAATGCAAACTAAAATGATCTGACATTTGCAAACAGGAAGGTGTTGCTGGTTTGCAGGTGCTCACACATCTCTCTGTTCTCTCGATTTGTCTGTCTCCGTGGAGAAGCAGCTTGTGCTTGGAAAAAAAATCAGGGGAATGGCACGGTTATAATCACGGACAGCGAGTGAGACAGTGCGAGGTAAATCCGGGTCGAATATCTCAGCGGCTTGTCAGGCTGGGCCGGTTTCCCAGGTGAAACGGAGAGATTTTTGCAGTTTTGAGTTGTGAAAAAGGCAGTGAGTTGCTAAACTGTTCTGGGTCACAGGCTCGTGGTTTCTTTCAGGAAGTCAGAGCACAGTGCAGTTCTGCAATGTTTTCATTTTATCTCCCACATCAACAGCCAGTAACTCTCTGATCCAGTGTGTTCAGACTTAAACCGAGCAGAGTTATTTCACAATTGCAATTGATCAGTGTTTTTCAAAAACACAGCACTTTTCCACTCGTTCATAGCCGCTCGCAGGGTTACACATGTTTTGCCAGAAAGGGGTTTTTGTTTTTGGAAATTGACCATTTCCTTGTGTCGTTTCATTGCCTGTTTGTTAAAATGTGCACGTTTGATCTGGCAGCTTTATCCTCGGTTTCTCCTGCTTTGTAACGTGCAAATTCCAGCTTCTCAGGCCCAGCTCAGGAGGTTCCACACTAATCCCATCAGCCAGGACCTGAACACACAATCAGATTCATCACAGCGCTGTGGGAGCGCCGCAATGTCGGAGGGTCAGTGCTGAGGGAGCGCCGCAATGTCGGAGGGTCAGTGCTGAGGGAGTGGGCACTGTCGGAGGGTCAGTGCTGAGGGAGCGCCGCACTGTCGGAGGGTCAGTACTGAGGGAGCGCCGCACTGTCGGAGGGTCAGTGCTGAGGGAGTGCGCACTGTCAGAGGGTCAGCGCTGAGGGGGCGCCACACTGTTGGAGGGTCAGGGAATGCTTACCTTTCATCCTGTGGAATCTTGCTGTGCACTGGACTCCCCTGAGATGTTGGGACAGTGAATGTTAGGTGGTATGTTGGCTAGGGGCTGAGGGTGTTGATGGTGGGAGACCTAGCGTTGAAAAACCATGAATGTATCTAAGCAACGTTGACACCTCAGCACGGATGGTGTGGTATTTAGTGCCAGCGGAAACCCCTACCCCAGAGAGATTCACCATCAAGAGGCAAAGACTCAACGTCTACTTGGCGAGGGGGGGTGGGTGCGGGGTTTGTTGGCGGTGGGGGTCAGCGCCGTATGTGGCTACACTGCTTCGGTGCAGCTCAGTCAGAGTGTGGGCCTTGCCTGAAGGTCGTGTTATGTCTTGTTGATAAATAAGGTTACAATGTGAAGCAGCGAGAGCGTCTTACGTTTCATGTTTGGCTTCAGTCTCTTTGCCATGCGTGTGGCTCGAGTGTATTAGAGATTGGAATCAGGCGATTGCAGACCCTGCCCTATCTCCATCCAAGACGCTCCGTAGGGAGGACAGATTCCCAGACCCTCTGGCCCCCTCCAGTCTGTGTCTCCCTCCTCCCCCCTTGCTGTGGGGGTGGTTATGAGACTGGAGTGAGGGGGCCCGTAGTGATTATAGTACCGGACTGAGGGTTTAAAGTGGAATTGCTCGCTGCAGCAGTGATGTGTTCAGTCCAGAGGTGCATTGTAGAGGTTGGGAGGCTGAGTCAGTGCATGGGTTTTAATGGGCTGACTGTGATTAGGCCAGGCTACGTGGTAACACTGGGATACTCAGGGTAACGGAGCATCATTAACCCTTTCAGTGCTGCTGAAGACATTTTCGGTATATTCACTCATGGATGTGGGTGTGTCTGGCTGGGCCCAGTATTTATTGCCCATCCCTAGTTGCCCCTTGGGAAGGTGAGGGTGAGCTGCCTTCTTGAACCGCTGCAGTGCCCCTGCTGTGGGTTGACCCACACTGCCCTGAGGGAGGGAATTCCAGGATTTTGACCCAGCGACAGTGAAGGAACGGCAATATATTTCCAAGTAGGGATGGTGAGTGGCTTGGAGGGGAACTTGCAGGGGGTGGTGCTCCCATGTATCTGCTGCCCCTTGTCCTTCTAGATGGAAGTGGTTGTGGGTTTGGAAGGTGCTGTCTGAGGATCTTTGGTGAGTTTCTGCAGTGCATCTTGTAGATGGTACACACTGCTGCGACTGAGCGTCGGTGGGGGTGGAGGGAGTGGGATGTTTGTGGATGTGGTGCCAATCAAGCGGGAGCTGCTTTGCCCTGGATGGTGTTGAGCTACTTGAGTGTTGTTGGAGCTGCCCCCATCCAGGGCAAGTGGGGAGTATTCCATCCCACTCCTGACTTGTGCCTTGTAGATGGTGGGACAGGCTTTGGGGAGTCAGGAGGGGAGTTACTCGCTGCAGGATTCCCAGCCTCTGACCTGCTCTTGTAGCCACTGTGTTTATGCGGTGAGTCCAGTTGAGTTTCTGGTCAATGGTAACCCCCAGGATGTGGATAGTGGGGAATTCAGTGATGGTAACACCATTGAATGTCAAGGAATTGTCTATCAGCTCCCTCCCTTGGCCTCTGTACAGAAAGATGCTACAGTCTGCTCAGTTTTTCAGGAGAATTTGAACCTCTCAGCCTTGGTTTCACAGTCACAGAATGAAAAGAAACCTTCACCAGTGACTCCTTCTGAGTACTGATCACGGGACAGTCTTAAATGTAGACGTCTCCTGGTTTTACATCCAGCTGTATCACACTGATAAAAGAACAAGAGATGGCACTCCATCCGCGGAGATAATGCGAATGTCATGAACGGCTAAGATATAGGAGCAGGAGTTAGGCCATTCAGCCCCTCGAGCCTGTTCCATCATTCAATAAAACCTGATCCAATTACAGTCTTAACTCCATTTTGCCGTCTGCCCCTCGTAGAGTCACAGAGTCATTTTTAAAATTTTTCTTCCCTCACCTTAAAAATGTGCCCCCTAGTCCTGAAATCCCCCATCCTAGGGAAAAGGCAACTACCAATAACTCTATCTCTACTCCTCATTATTTTATTAACTTTTATAAGGTCACCTCTCAACCTCCTATACTCCAGTGAGAAAAGTCCCAGTGTATCCAGCCTTTCTTTATAACTCAAACCTTCCATACCCAGCAACATCCTGGTAAATCTCTTCTGAAGCCTCTCCAGTTTAATAATATCCTTCCTGTAGCGGGGCGACCAGAACTAGACACAGTGCTCCAGAAGAGGCCTCACCAATGTCCTGTACAACTTCAACATGACTTCCCAACTTCTTTACTCAAAGGACTAAGCAATGAAGGTAAGTGTGCCAAACGCCTTTTTAACCACCCTGTCTATACGTGACACAACGTTCAAAGAATGATGTACCTGAACCCTTGGGGGTCTCTGTTCTACCATACTACCCAAGGCCCAACTATTTGCTGTATAAGACCCACCCTTGTTTGTTTTATCAAAATGCCATACCTTGCGTTTATCCAAATTGAGCTCCATCTACCATTTTTCAGCACATTGACCCATTTGATCAAGGTCCCTTTGTAATCTTAGACCTTCTTCATTGTCTACTGTGCCACCAATTTTGGCGTCATCTGCAAACTTACTAACCATGCCTTCTCTATTCTCATCCAAATCATTTATATAAATGACAAACAGAGAGCCCAGAACCGATCCCCGTGGAGCACACCACTGGCAATAGGCCTCCAGTTCGAAAAGCAACCCTCCACCACCAGTCTCTGTCTCCTGCCTTGAAGTCAATTTGTGTCCAATTGGCAAGATCACGCAGAATCCCATGTGACCTAACGTTACGAATGAGTCTACCATGCGGAACCTTGTCAAAGGCTTTACTGAAGTCCGAGTAAAACAACGTCTGTTGCTCTGCCCTCATCGATCTTCTTGGTAACTTCCTCAAAAAACTCAGTGTGATCTTTGACTCACTCTGGAAATCTGCCTCTGCCTCAGATCGATTCAATGATCCAGTGCCCACTGGTTGCTGGGCAAGAGAATTCCAAATTCAAGGAATTCCCCATCTCTGTCCTAAATGGAAGACCCCTCATTTTGAAACTCTTGTCCCCCAGGATCTAGAAAGAGTTTCTCAGCATTCGACTCTGTTGAGCACCCCCTCACCTCCTCGGATTGCAATGAGATCACCTTCAGACCTCTGGATACTACTGTTGGTTGCAGTGAGATTACAGTGACTGTGTTAACGTCGATACTATCAGAACGAGTTGTCTTACTTACTGATAGCTTGGATCGCGAAATCACGTCCATAATCTCGGATTCCATCCCTGAATATTACTGTCTCGCTGCGTGTCTCATTTCAGAATTGGGTCGAATTTTGTTTCCGCAAATTTTTAGCAGAAAGTGACATCTTTAAGGGGAGATATACAGGAGGAGAGGAGAGAGAAAAGGATGCACTGATAGGAGAAGACAGGAGAGAGGGTTGTCTGAGCTTTGTATGAGATATAAGCGATCAGATGGGCTGAATGGCCTGATTCTGCACTGTAAACCTGACATAAAACAAATGTGTTCACGTCTCAATCAAAGAACATTTGGGGAAAAACAAAGCAAATCCTTTTAAATCTTTGTGTCAGAAAGATTTCTGCCCACTTTATTTTTATCTTGTTGAAATGCTTAAAATAACAAAGACATCTGAAGCTGTTGCTACATCTGTCTTTAATTTTGAACCAACAGGTATTGCTGAAGCTAAACATTTCGATTGAAAACTTCAACAGTGAGGTTGATGGGTTTTTTTGGCAGATAACGGGGGATCGAGGACTTTAAAGCAAAGACAGATACGGAACAAAACAGAAGTTGCTGGGAGAGCTCAGCAGGTCTGGCAGCATCTGTGGAGAGAAAACAGAGTGAATGTTTCAGGTCCAGTGACCCTTCCTCAGATAACTGTCAGCATTGAGTTAACTGTCCCATGGTCTAGTGGCGGAATAGCCTCTTAATCCGAGGGACACAAATTTGTGATGGATAACTTTTAAAGAAGATGTTTTTTGGAGTGCTAGATGTGTGAGAGAGGTTACAAACGGAGGTCTGATTAACCCATTCAAAAAGGAGTCAGTAGATGATTTTTGGATAAAATAAAGGACTTGGAGGCCTGGAAATCTGAAACACAAACAGAAATTGCTGGAGAAACTCAGCAGGTCTGGCAGCATCTACGGAGAGAGAAACAGAGTTATTATTTCAAGTCCAGTGTCTTTTTTGCAATAATCAAAGTTTCCAAGTTAACTCAGTACTATGTGGCAGTAGGCCATTCAGCCCATCAGGGGCACACCACCCCTACACAGGGCATCTCACACACACACACCCACACCTCACCCCTATAACCTTACATTTCCCATGACTCACCCACCCAGCCTGTATGTGTTTGGACTGTGGGAGGAAACCCACGCCGACACAGGGAGAATGTGCAAACTCCGCGCAGACAGTCGCCTGAGGCTGGGAATTGAACTCGGGTCCCTGGTGCTGTGAGGCAACAGTGTTAACCACTGAGCCACTGTGCAATGCTGCCAGACCTGCTGAATTTCTGCAACAGTGTCCGTTTTTAGTCTAATTGAATTCTCTGTCAGGTTACTGTGTGTGTGTGTGTATGTCTGTATGTGTCTATCTGTTATGAAGCATGGCTTTGTGTGAGGGAATCTGATTGTCCAAGGAAATGGAATGTCTCATTCTCTGCATTTACGTAGCTCCTAATTCTGCCCTTTTCCTCCCGTCAGGTGCCTCCAGACCGTGCTCGGCCTCATCCCTGACCCTGATGGCGGCGGCCGTGGTGGACGGGGTATCAGTTGCCCCCATCTCGGGCAGCTGTACGTCCGTGAACACAGTTTGTTCGGATAGTGACCACCCGGTGAGCCTCAGCTCTTCCACTTCCTCGGCATCGCTGCAGGATGGTCACAGCTCGTTCGGCAGCAATGGGACCCTGGTACCAAGCACAGGCAGTTTCAGTTACCCCGCTGTGCTCGGCAGCGACATCAGCCTGGACCTAACACCGGTCAGCCATGCCAAGGCCCCCTTGGGGGAGGGGGATGGCAGGCCCGGGAACATGATGATGGAAGCTCCCCGGGGAATGGACTGTCGCGGTGTTCCCTGGTCCCCTCCTCCCAGCGCCACGTCCCAACTCAAGGAGCCCCTGGTGAAGCTGTCCCATGTGGACAGGGTGGTGAAGGAGATCATTGAAACTGAACAGGCGTTCGTTCGGGATTTGAAGAGCATCGTGGAGGTAAGGCAAGACCCTCCCAAAAATTGAGATTGGGTGCAATATGCATTTGCAAGCCCATGAGCCCTCACATGTACCTCATGGCCCCCACATACTGTCAACCTGCTCCCACTCTCTCCATGACCGATCCCTTAGAATCATACAATCTCTACAGCGTGGGAGAAGGCTGGTTGGCCCATCGAGTCTGCACTGACCCTCTGAAGACCACCCTGCATTTCCCATGGCTAATCCACCTTCCCTGTATGTCCCTGAACACTATGGGGTAATTTCTCATGGCCCAATCCACCCTAACCTGCATATCTTTGGACTGTGGGAGGAAACTGGACCACCCAGAGGAAACCCATGCAGATATGGGGAGAATGTGCAAACTCCACACAGACAGTTGCCCAAGGCTGGAGTTGAACCTGGGTCCCTGGTGCTGTGAGGCAGCAGTGCTAACCACTGAGCCGCTGTGCCACCCCACTTCTCCTTTCCCCCAGACTATCCCCTCAGTGAGGGAGGGGATGGCCTAGTGATATCATAACCTGCCTGTTAATCTGGAGATCCAGCTCATGTTCCAGGAACATGGGCTCAAATCCCCCCAGGCCAGGCAGTGGAATTTGAATCCAATAAAAATCTGGAATTAAAAGTCCAACAATGACCATTGCCCAGCCTGGGGCTATTTTCCCTGGAGCGTCAGAGGCTGAGGGGTGACCTTATAGAGGTTTCTAAAATCATGAGGGGCATGGATAGGGTGAATAGCCAAGGTCTTTTCCCCAGAGTAGGGGAGTCCAAAACTAGAGGGGCATAGGTTTAAGGTGAGAGGGGAAAGATTTAAAAGGGACCAAAGAGGTAACTTTTTCACGCAGAGGGTGGTGTGTGTATGGAATGAGCTGCCAGAGGAAGTGGTGGAGGCTGGTACAATTACAACATTTAAAAGGCATCTGGATGGATATATGAATAGGAAGGGTTTAGAGGGATATGGGCCAAATGTTGGCAAATGGGACTAGATTATTTTAGGATATCTGATTGGTGTAGATGAGTTGGACTGTGCTGCATGTGCGTATGGATCTACCTGGGTCACTAATGCCCTTTAGGGAAGGAAACTGCCATCCTTACCTGGTCTCGTTCCACATGTGACTCCAGACCCACAGCAATGTGGTTGACTCCTAACTGCCGTCTGGGATGGGCTATGAAAGCTGGCCCAGCGAGTGACACCCACACCGTGCAAATGAATAAAAATATAATCATACACCCAACCCTGCAACGACTTAATGTGCTGGACAGGGGTAAAAGATGGAGTGAAACAGGGCTGGGGGTGGGGACAGACAATCCAGCTCTTCCTCCCTCCCTTGAGGGATGTCTCTTCCTCAATCCGCTCGATGGCCCAGCCCATTAGCACGTTCCTGCTTGTGGGATCGTGCCGTGCACCGATTGGTTTCCTGTATCAGCAGGTTGACTGCACTTCAGACTCATTTCTGTGTCAGCGAGATGCTTTGGTGGTGTTATTTAGAAATGGGCCCCTTCCCCTTTCACTGAGTCTGCCCACATGTCAGAGCCGGTGAGTGTAGGGAATGTTTGAATTTCCCAATGGCTTTGGTTACTTTCCTGCATCGAGACGCTAACAGCTGCAATGAGGCGGGTTGGGGGTGGGTCCCAGGTCTCATGGTGATGTAGCTGGGGTAGGGGGTGAATGTTGGCTGAGACACTGTTGTCTAGGACACAAATAGCTTGGTGTCCACCACCACTAGTTTCAAGGAAGCGGAAGCCCGAGCTGCTGAAGCAGTGACAATGCTGCACTGGGTCAGAGCCGACACTGTGTCCTGCAGTGTGCCTCAAACTCCGCAACATTACACCCAAAGGGGAGGTCTGCCGAGGTGATGCCCTCCCTCCCCCCGACCAGGGGGGTCGGTGGGGTGGTGGGTGCTGGATGTCTCAGCCGATGTGCGTTCCCAATCCAGATTCCACACACAGGCCGGTAACCAGAGTCACTGTCTGGAGACCAGGAGCTTGGCAAAACCCAAATGACAGGCTCAGTGGTTAGCCACTGCTTCCTCACAGGGACCCAGGTTCGATTCCACCCTCAGGGAGTTTGCACATTCTCCCTGTGTCTGCGTGGGTTTCCTCCGGGTGCTCCGGTTTCCTCCCACAGTCCAAAGATGTGCAGGTTAGGGTGGATTGGCCGTGGGAAATGCAGGGTTACACGGATAGGGTAGAGGGGGGCTGGGTTTGTTGGGGATGCTCTTTGGAGGGTAGGTGAGACTTGAATGGCCTCTTTCTGCTCTGTAGGGATTCTATTCCATGATTCTGGAATTAAGAATCTAATGATGACCGTGAATCCATTGTCAGGAAAAAAAACCATCTGGGAAGGAAACTGCCATCCTTACCTGGTCTGGCCTACATGTGACTCCAGACCCACAGCAATGTGGTTGACTCTGATACTGCCCTCTGGGGAATTAGGGATGGGCAATAAATGCTGCCTGGCCAGCGACACCCTCATCCTATGAATGAATAAAGAAAAAATAAAATTCCATGGTCCAATAGTGCCTTCAGAGAGGGGGACCCGCCTCTTCCAATCCTGCTGTGACCTGGACTGAACAGTCATGAGTCCAGAACCCCCTGCCCAACCCCTAGTCCCACCTGGTTGTTCCTCAATCTCCTATAATGTGGCCTGCCATCCAATTATCAGAACCTCTCAGGGTCACTGGGCAATAAACCCAATCCTGCCAGTGTCACCCACAACACGAGAACAAATTCAGAAAGACTCAGAGGAGGGCCTGGGGTCCCATTTCCAAATCTGAGGCCAGGCCTTGTGGAGGTGCAGAGGAATTCACTCGCATGGTTCCACAAATGAGTGTGGTCAATGCGGAGAGACCACAGGCGCTTCTATTGGTCTCTTTACCTAGGAAAAGGCTGGCGAGAGAGAGAACCGAGACACTCCAAGTCATGAGGGAGGCTTGGCCGGGTGTAGAGGGACCAGTGAGAGACTGAAGAGGAGATGAGGATAAATATTTTGCCCCAGCAAGTTGTTGTAGTCTGAAAGGTCTTTGCAAGTCAATTCAACAGGAATGTTCAAAAAGGAACTGGAAGGAAGGCTTGAAGAGGAACGATTAACTGGCCACACAGAGAGAGAGTGTGGGCTCATTGGGGAGCTGTCTCCAAGAGCTAGCACAGCCCCAATGGGCCGAGCGGCCTGATTCTGTGATTCGAGCTCCTGAGTGGAATGGGATTGCCAGAGACTTGGATCCAGAAGCCTGACCAATCGCTCGATTTCGGAAATGGGATTGACAAGGATGTGAAACGTAAGGGGCTCCAAACACACCCCACAGTCAGACATTCCCCACTCATCATCGTGCAGGTGATGTGTACGGACTCCCTGCTCTGATTCTTCAGCGATAACTCGAGACTGAGCGGTGGAACTAATTGGAAGAGTTTCTGACTCTTTTTTTTGCAGATATAGTACTGTCCTCTCAACTCTGTCTACAGGGGCACTGCCCTGTGTTAATTATAATGTTCACAACAGCGAGTCCCTTTAATAAGGTTCTCTGATCTGGAGCGACCTCTTCAATTAGCAATATTTATGGTTTCCTCAGTAATGGGCAGTCAAGCAAAGCATTTCCTCTGAACAGCATTAATTAATTGCTGCTCTACTCTGCTGGGCACTGCACAGGTTCGCTGTTTGAGAAAGGCAGTGGGATAAACTTTTTCACAACTTGGAAGGTTTGACAGTGCAATAACTTGCAGGGAATTGACTGTAAGATCTGGCATCAGGAGATCCATTCAGACCTCTACCCTCAATTTGCCACTCGCATCTGTATCTTCCCACTGGGCCCTTCAAGTTAGACAGCTCTCCCCTTCCTGCTGTGTCCAAAGCAGCGGGTGACACTCTCGCCCCCTTCAGGCAGGAGGACGTGGGATCTTGCTGTGCGCCAGTTGTGAAAGTTGTTGTGTTCGCGGTGCAAGTCTTCCTTTCAAGGGTACAGAGAAGGCTGTTTCAGACTGAGATGAGGAGAAATATCTTCACCCAGAGCATGGGGAGCCTGTGGAATTCTCTTCCACAGAAAGCGGCTGAGGCCAAAATATTGACTGTTTTTGAGGAATTGGAGATAGCTCTGCCCTCAGAGGCTGGTAAAGCTTTGGAATTCTCTTACCTGGAAGGCTGTGGAAACTCAGTCATTGGGAATGTTCCAAAGAGAGATTAACAGGTTTCTGGATTTGGGGCATTGTGCTCTGAGGTGAAAGATCAGTCATATAATTGTATAGTGGAGGGGCTGAATGGCCTTCTCCAGTTTCACAGAAAACCTGGAGTGCTCACACTGACCCTCCAATGAGGATTATCCCTGCAGCCCCCCACCCTTCTCCATGGGAGACAAATCCACTCTAACCTGCACATCTTTGGACTGTGGGAGGAAACCAACACAGACACAGGGAGAATGTACAAACTCCATGCAGAGAGTCACCCGAGGCTGGAATTGAACCCAGTTCCCTGGTCTAGTGAGGCAGCAGTGCTAACCACTGAGCCACCAGGCTACCCCTGTAGTCCTCCCTTCCCATTGTGTCCCATTTTTGAAATATTTCTCCACATCACACCTAGCAGGTCATAACGACTGTGTTTAAGATATTCTGCAGACACTAGTGAATAGTTAAAGGTTTTCACAACCTGGATTTGAGCCATTGGAATGGAGAGCAGCCTTCCAAACATGTTTATATGGTTTTCCAACAATCATTTAATGATGGGCCTGACTCATATCTTGGCAGGAAATATTCCAATCGCTGCTTCATTAGTGTGTAACAGCCTGTGACTTTCTGACCTGGAAGTGGTCTATTGATACAGAAGGGGGCCCTTGTTTTAACACAACTTTTTAACCCTGGAGGCCTCTGAGATGTGGGAGGAGGTAGCGAGAGTCAGAATTGCAGTCTGATTTCTGAATGTGGGAGAAAATCTTACACACACACACACACACACACACACACACACACACACACACACACAAACACACACACACACACTCACACACATACAC